GGCACCGTTGGGTTATACGAATGCTTCAAGGCCTTCCTTCTACTAAACCAACTGCCTCCATTACCGAGATACAGGGCGCTCATATTATAAGGTAAGGTTATAAAAACCATCTTTTAAGATCATTTTAGTGAAAGTTTCATGCTTCAAGGCGTACCATTCACTGCTCAAATACTAAAAAACCTGCTTCCATTGAAGATATAAAGGGCGCTCATATTATAAGGTAAGGTTATAAAACCACCTTTTAAGATCATTTTAGTGAAAGTTTCATGTTCCTATCTCATAGAATTTAAGAACAATGATGAATAAATCATTTTCGAGCAAAATTTAAATGGCCGGCTGAATATATTACCGCAGGAGACGCAGCCGCGGAATTTAAATTACCGCGTCAAAGGGTTAAGGGTGGAAATTTAGGGAACAAGTCCTCCGGGAGGGACTTTAAGCCGTTGGTCCCGTGTTGTAGATTCATTACCATGTTCACATGAGCCCTCCACTGGTCCCTATCCTGAGCCAGATCAATCCAATACCATCCCATCCATTTAAATATTGTCCACCCACCTACACCTTGGTCTTCCCAGGGGTCTCTTTCCTTCTGGCTTTCCCATCAATATCCTATACATAAAAAACGCTCACTATTGCCTTAGCATGAAAATTTTCACTTTGTAATGTAAGATAAAGTAGAGCCTGCATAACTAAGATCTTAAATCTAGATTCGTAAATATTCTTAATTTTTGTCATTACACACCACTTTCTCAGGAGAAAGCTGGTAAAAGTCAAATTATTAAACATGTCTGTATGTTGCTGTGGAAGAGCACCATCTGGTCTGTGGTCCATAGTTTATTGATCACTGTTCTAACTCCATTATCTGAGGACAATATAATTACACAGCCAAGGAAACGTAAAGTTCCACTCTAGTTGGGATTTGCACTCTTTTTCCGATACATTTCATATGCCATTGCATGCATACTGTACATACTCACAAGGTGGCAGAGATTCCTCTTCAGCTGGCAACTCTAACCTCTGGTTTTTCCCTGACCTCTCAGGGATGGAAGGCAGCCGGGTTGTGGTCAGATGGCATACAGGAAGAATAGAGCAGTTTTCTCTGGCTCTCATGTGTGCTTGATTTATAGGGGCACTACTCACTTCATCTGAAATGTCACCTTCCTGAGTGGAGTTAGGAGAAATGACGCAGGCATTGCCAACTGCTGTGGAAGAATTAAAAAAAAAACAGTTTCACCTTCAGTACTTTATTATTACATTATCCTTCTGTAGAAGAATTTAGTTCATTTAGAAAAAAAAAGGTTTAGACTAAAATTTGTGTAATATGGGTTTGTAGTATAATTGTTAAGATGTTTCTGTATAAGAAAAAGAGGTTACAAACGGCTATCTTCATAATTAGTAATCAAAAGAGACATTTCAGAAGAATTTTGGGGTCTACATCATAAAACTAAGCACAATGGACCACTGTAGGTCGCGGTGCAAGGGCCGAGAAGGCCTACCCCTCATACATTCATTCATTCATATCATAAAACTAAGTACTCTGCTGACCCAGTCAACATTTAAAATTACTTCAGAAGATAGGACCTCTATAATACAATATTCCACCATCGCCACAAAAGAACCAACAAGATATATAAAGCTTATTGAAGTTATATACAATATTCATCTCTCACAGGCTACATGCTATGAGCTAAATGGACATGATGAGGCCTTATATTCCCACATTAATGTATCTAGTAACACCTGAACTGTAAAAACAATATATCATTGGAAATAACACAGAACCTACACTTACTTTAGATTAGCTCTTTAAATATTTTTTAAGTAAATCATCAAAGGTAGAGAGTCTGGCAGCAAGTATTAGACATTCTAAATTTATCACAACTTTCCAGTCATGAGAGTGTGGGTACTATAGTTTACAAACAATTGACTGCTCTGAGGTTATGCTGCAATATAAGCCTGTAACATATATTACTAAAAGAAGATTCAAAGTGGCAGTAATCAAACTTGGAGCACCCACAAGGATAGGATTCTGTTTATTTGGTAGGTTGATGAGAAAAATGGTGGCCTCTTATTGGGAGAAAACAGAATCCCACTGAGTGGGCACTCCAACATCGAAACTGTGTTGCTTCCATTTGCCAGGAAGGAAAGGAAAAGATAAAGAGACTGGGGCATTACAAAGAGAGGAAAAGCAATGACAAATCATTTATATATGATTTAAGATATAACCTGAACCAGCATCAGCTACTGCAGCAAGGAGTTCGCCTCTGTCAGCACACAGCTGCAGCTCCTGGCCCTGGAGTGTCTTATTCATAGGGCGCGCATGGTGTGTGGGTGTGGGAGGACACTGGGGAATGCCTGTTGGACTCGTTACGGCTGCCACACGACTCAGAACCCTGCCAATACAAAACATCAAAGCAAATAAAAGGCTGCTTTTACAATATATCTTTATATTCTATTTCCCACCTAATAAAAAATTGACTGGGGGTTGGCATTTGTGTTCCCATAGTGGCATAATTTTTCTCCTCTTCATGTCATCCAGACAAGTTATGGGGTCCACCCAGCCTCATATCCCATGGGTACCAGAGGCTCTTTCCCTGGCGATAAAATGGGAGGGGTGTGAAGTTGACCACTCATTTCCAACCAGTACTGAAGTCAAGAATACATGGATGTGTACATCCACTCCCCCATACATTTTCATATCATAGTGCTTAATTAGTTAAGCACAGGCACAACTTTACCTTTACAATGAATTATACAGGATTAGGGTTAACTGCCAGGTCCTAAACCCTAAACCCTGGTTTTTCTATATACTCTTTTGATATCAATGACCTCTCCATTTGAGGAGTTTGCATTTCAGTGTCTCATTTGGTGTCCTATTTGTCTTCATTCTGTATATGGGTTGTAGCCAATTCTTTTGACAATCTTCTATTTCAATATTAACACTTAAAAAAGTTTCAATTTTCCTGATGTCTGTCTGTATTTCACTGAGGATCAGTCTTGTAATACTCAAAGACCACACAAATTTCATTTGTGTTTCTTTCATTCATTATTCTTCAATAGTGAGGTCTTCATATATAGTTATAAGTTGTTTTTTGCTGTGATGTTTATGTATTCTTTTTTTTCTAATTATATTTATTTGCCCCCTCGTTGGTGGCTCCACCTTATCGTGGTGAGAGGGTTTGAGTACACCAAGGACACTGAGAGCTATAGCAGCGGTAGTGTAGCTACTGGCAGGGCCTCCCTTGCTGGACAGGTCAAAGGGTAGGCATCAGACGAAGAGAGACACCAAAAACTGATGTCGGAAGCAGCGTCATCAGCAGCGACTTGAAGCACAGAGCAAATGATGCTCGAGATGGTTCAAGTTCGTATATCAACAGGCATGACCAGAGTGGTTTGAACGGCTGTTGTACTGCGATGTGGAAAGCAAATGGAAAAACTACCACATTATCACTTTTCCTGGATAGTCTCTTTAAAAAGTAAGATACCAAGTAAGCGAGATGTTTCCTCTGGAGACAAAACAATCCGGAGGTAAACTACTCCCCCAATCGGATCTCCGGGGGGGGGAGTGTTTCTAGAGGAAATGTCATGCAGGCGTCATGACAAGAAAAAGTGCGAAGATCAGAAGGAACATCATGGCTACAAGATTGGAACATGGAATGTAAGGACCTTGAATCAAGGAAGCAAACTGCAGAATCTGAAAACGGAATGAAGTGTCTGTTTTAGGTGTCAACGAAGTGTGGTGGAAAGGACAAGGTGAAATAAGAAGTGGTGATTATACAGTGTATTATTCTGGAGGTGAACAGGCTGAAAGAGGTGTGGCAATAGTGGTGCATAAAAGGGTAGTGAGGAGTGTTGTTAAGAAGATTGTTTGCAACGACAGAATTATTGCTCTGAAGTTAAAGGCGGAACCGGTAGATATACCGATTATGCAAGTGTACATGCCAACATCAGAGTATGAAAATGATGAAGTGGAAAACGTGTATGACACAACTGAAGAAATTCTTCAGGAAGATGGAAGAGGTGACACAAACAGCATCATATTAGGAGAGTGCAATAGCACTGTTGGAGACGAATCATATCAGAATGTTGTTGGACCACATGGACTAGGAAGATGGAATAACAGGGGTCAAATGCTTATTGACTTTTGTGAAAGAAATGGACTGATTGTTACCAACACTTGGTTCAAGAAGCCAAAGAGAAGACTTTACACATGGAAGACACCTGGGGATTGGAGGTGGCATCAGCTGGACTACATCCTTGTGAAACGTCGATTCAGAAACAGTGTGAAGGATGTGAAGACACTGCCTTGGGCAGATACTGACTCTGACCACAACTTACTGGTTGCCAAGTTTCAAACCAGGTTGAAGAAAATTGTAAGATTCCAAAAGCGCAGACCAAGGTGGGATTTGGAGAAGTTATATGCTCAAAGACAAAGCGTGCAGAAAACCCTAGAAGAGAAACTCGGTGAAACTGAAAGTGAAAGCGGAAATGCTGAAGTGCAGTGGAAAAATATAAAAGAATGCATGTTAGATACTATTAGCGAATTGGTTGGTAAAGTTGAGAAGATAGCAAGAAAACCATGGGTTACACAGGAGATGATGAGTAAAATGGAGGAGCGAAGGAAATGGAAGAATGTAAACAATGAAGAAGGCAGGAGGAAATACAGGAGACTGAGGAATGAATTGAAAAGAGCCACGGACAGGGCCAAAAAGGAATATCTTGAGAAGATATGTAATGAGATTATGGAATTTCAAAGAACAGGCCGTTATGATTTGATGTACATGAAGACAAAAGAACTAGGATGGAAAGAGAATCATGGGATTCAAAATGTTGGCATCGAAGACTCCCAGGGGAATAGAATAGTAGATCAGAGGAAAGTGCTGAAAATTTGGGAAAATTATATTACAGAACTATATGATCGACCTAATCGGCCAGAAACCTTAGAAGTTGAACCGGAAGAAGAAGTAGATACAGACGAGAAAGGACCATATATTTTACAAAGTGAGGTGGAAAAAGCTATCAAGGAAATGAGGAAGGGAAAGGCTACAGGAGATGATGATGTACCTGGAGATGTGCTCAAGTTACTGGGAGAAGGTGGTTTGAAAACACTGACAAAACTAATGAACACCATATATGAAAGTGGAGAGTGGCCCAAGGACTTTACAGAAGTTACAATGATTGCCTTAAAGAAAAAGACAAAAGCTACAAAATGCAGCGACCATCGCACAATAAGTCTTATTGCACATACAGCAAAGATAATAGCAAAGATACTTAAAAGAAGAATTGAAAGGAAAATAGAGGATGTACTTGGAGAAGATCAGTTTGGATTTAGAAGAGGAAAAGGAACCAGGGATGCAATTGGGATGATGAGAATTATAGCGGAACGAACTTTGGAGATAGATGAAGAACTGTGTGTTTGCTTCATAGACTGGCAGAAGGCATTTGACCGGGTAAACTGGACCAAATTAATGCAGATCCTGAAAGAAACAGGTATCGATTGGCATGAAAGAAGATTGATTAGCAAATTGTACATGGATCAGAAAGTTAGAGTACGACTGGACAGGGGGGAGACAGGAAGTGTGCAGATTGGAAGAGGAGTTCGACAAGGATGCTGTTTATCACCAATTCTGTTCAACTTGTACAGCGAATGCCTTACCAAGGAAGCTCTGGATGGGCTCGGTGACTTCAAAGTAGGAGGGCAAATTATTCAAACTGTGAAATATGCAGATGACCTTGTGTTAATGGCTAAGGAAGAAACTGTGCTACAGGGTGTGATTGATAGACTAATCGAAATTGGAAGGTACTATGGCATGGAAATGAATGTGGACAAAACAAAAGTAATGAAAATTTCGAAACAACCAACCCGTCACAATAAAGATAGACCAAAAACAACTGGAGAATGTGTAACGTTTTAAATATTTGGGTAGCTTGTTAACAGATGATGGAAGGTGTACTAGGGAAATTAAATCCAGGATTGCCATGGCAAAAGCTGCATTTAGCAAGAAGAAGAATCTTTTTACCAGCAAATAGGACTTAAATTTGAGAAAGAGACTAGTGAAATGCTACATTTGGAGCACTGCTTTGTATGGGGCTGAAACTTGGACACTTAGGGCAGGAGATCAGAAACACCTGGAAAGCTTCGAAATGTGGTGTTGGAGAAGGATGGAGAAGATCAGTTGGACCGATTATGTGAGAAATGAAGAAGTATTATTTAGAGTCAGTGAGCAGAGGAATATACTACACGAAATAAGAAAACGGAAGGCTAATTGGATTGGTCATATCTTACGCGGTAACTGCCTTCTAAAAGAAGTTATTGAAGGAAAGAGAGAGGGGCAAATAGAAGTGACCAGAAGACGAGGAAGAAGACGTAAGAAGATTCTGGATGACCTTGGGGACAGAAGAGGATATTTTCATTTGAAGGAGAAAGCTCTAGATCCCATCGAGTGGAGGAACTGTTTTGGAAGAAACTGTGGACCTGTCATCTTGACAGATTACAGATGAATGAATGAATGAATATTTATTTGCCAGATCTGTTATTATTTTCTTCTGTTTTCTAGTGTGATTACAACCGTGTTCCTATATTTCTCTGTGATCCAAAATAAGAAACCCTAATAAAATCCTGGTTCCAATGCTTGTTTCATGCTTTACTGACGACCTACATAATTTTTACTAGTTTCAGCACAAATACTGCAAAGAAAAAAATTCCTTGAATAAAAGCCATAGGCATTCATGAAATAAATGTGCTCTGCCTTAAATATGTCTGCATAAATCTTACTGATTTCAAGACATAACTTAACAGCATAATCTAGTCAGTGTGCGCCATCAAAATCAATGTCTAAACCCAGTACTTCCTACACTCTTTTGTGCAGAGCCTTCTCAGTTTTGAATAAAAATGAGATATCCTAGACCAATAAAATACATACCCTAAAAATTAAATGTACTTGAACACATTTATGATGATGTTCAAATAGAAATTGTTCACAGGTGGACTGAATGACAACTTACAGTTTTGGTAACCATACTTTGACAATCTTGAGTGCAGTTTCTTTTTGAACATACTCATGTCCTTGGCTGTATATTCTGAGGGAGTAGACACATATGAAAATTATGAGGAAATACAGTACTGTTCAGCAACAATTCTAAAGGGTTCTGATGATGATACATTACACTTAGGATTACATGCTTTCTGCACTTGGTCTGTTTAGTATCCCAAGTAGAGCACAATATTTCAGAAAATGAATCAGTTTCTCTCCTCAAATGGAAAGATGACTCTTCCTCACCTTTCACCTGATCATGGAAACGATTTTCATTGCCTTTAAATGACCCCTTCTCAGCCTCCAATACATCATAAGATATACGATTAAAAAAGTGGCTTATTGCCACAAGTGATAGCTAAATAACTGAAAGGATAACAACCACTACTTATTTATTTTCACAATTCTCATATGTCAACGCCACTGTAAATTGAACAAAACTGAAGCATTAATTTAAGACAATGAACTGAAGTCTCAGCAGTGCCCTACAATAAATGTGACAAAGTATCGTGGCTAATGGTAAAGCTGAGGTGAAGCTATCCCTGCGTTCAATTAATTAAGCACCATGCCATGAAGATGTATGTGGGAGTGGTGGTATAGCTCCACCATTTTTAATCCCAGCACTAAATGGAGGTGAACTGTCAGTTTCATGCCCCTGCCACTTTACTCCTGGGGAAGCAGTGCCCCGTAACCATTTTACAGGATATTGGGTAGGCTCCAGAGATGGTGTGGATGTTACAGAAAAGAGGTAAATCTCCTGCCCCTGCTGGCAACTGAACTCCAACTCTTCAGTCATCCAGCCCAGAGCCTAGTCGTTATACTGACTGAGATATGTATCATGGATACCGCCTTTATTTACTGCCGCACACACATTTGGCAAGCACATATCAGATACAGGAGGTTTTGTTAATAACACCAATTTAATGTATAGCATAATTAGAGCAACTTCTTATTTTTAATGGTAAAATCATTATTTATTCAAGAATTCTATGAATTTAAAATTCTTCATTACATAATGTTTCCATGGGTTTCCTGGAAACCCTTTTTTGAAGCCCTTGGGCTCTACAGAGCATGGTTTTGTAACCAGCTATCTTAACCTCCTGCAATCATACTAACATGTAGTTACTATAGGATTCTGACGATGGTGTATAACACACTGATATGTTGGGATTTCGGACTTTATCAATCGTCCTGGTTTTTAAGATAACAAATAAAAACACGACGTTTCGGAAACTGGATCTGTTTCCGTCCTCAGCCTGGTCTCAGGTGTTTATAATCTTCATGTTTTGTGACATCGGTTTGTCCAGTGATTGAGGCTAGCTCTTTCTAAGGGACCCAACTGAATAGGTGTTTTCCTTCACCTGAGGAGGGAAACAGATCCAGTTTCCGAAACGTCGTGTTTTTATTTGTTATCTTAAAAACCAGGACGATGGATAAAGTCCAAAATCCCAACATATCAGTATACTAACATGTAGTCATCATCTGTCTGATTTCCATAACACTGCACACACCTATACACAAACTGATGTCATATGTAAAAGTAATACACCTTCTTAATACCATTCAAAGAGTGTACATTCTTCTTGTTTTCAAGTCATATTGAAGTGAAATATGGTTCAATCTTCAGCTGTAACCTAACAACCCATTGTGGCATATTCTGATATATAGAAAAATTACATAATCAGATGAATGCACCATAAGAATATGGACATCAGTGACACTTATGCACTTATGAATCAATGATCTCAATTACTGGATGTCTGTCAGAGCTTCAGAACTTACCTGTTACGAGGACGTTGAACAGTGGCCAAGATCTCATTCCCAATCTGATGTTGAAGAGGTAACCTTGCAGGACCACAGAAATGTGCTCCACTTGGTTCTGGTCTCTGGCCAAGTGATGTCATAGGTGGGTGACTGACTTGCCTTGACAAAGGCTTGTGAGTACGCAGTGAAGGACTACTGAAGGACACCAGCTCCTTTGTGTGAGCATCAGCAAACTCATTACTATCTTCTGTTGTATTCTCATCATCTACATCGACAATAACAATGCAAGAAGAAACTGCTTCATCACCTTGTGACTGTGAACCAATGTTCTTACTGAAGTTACTTAACTCCCTTTCTCCAGATTCACTAGTAACATCTGTATTTCCACTAACGACAAAGCCAGCACCCAAGGAATCAGTATTTGAACAACAGATGCTAAGAACCACTGTATTTGTATCAGAACTGGAACTTGTATTGCATTCTGTAGCAGATGAAAGAGCCATTCCAGACTCAGATAATGAATTTGGTGAAGCAGGTGAAATTGACGATGATGATGATGATGATGGATTCGGCACTGATAAAACAGATGAGGTATAAACGTTATTTAAATCAGAATCAGGCAGAACACTATTACGGCTTACTGTTATTTCTGCCTGATTTTCCCCATTTGGTATGTCTGTGACTATGACTGGCATTTCACACACATCCTGGAAACTGACTGCATTTGTGGATCCCACCTGAGGATCATGAAAAGGGAAATTTTGGAGCCTTGTAATTACAGAAATTTCAGAAGCTGATAGGCATAGGTGAAGTTTACCACCATCTGAACCAGAATAACCATCTGTTAATGCACCACCTATACTGACCTCTGAGGAACCACCCTCAACACCTTGGTCAGTTCCATGACTAGAAGACATACCACCTTTACTCCCTTTGCTTTGGTTACCATTACAAAGAACCTGTATATCATTTACTGGCCAAGAATGTGTACATCTTTGGTATTCAGTGTTTTCATTTGTAGTGGCAGGAGAATCCACTGGTGCAATATTATGCTGCATGCCGGACAAACTTTCTGGTAAAGAACACATGTAAGTCTGTCCTGCAGCTTCCTCATTGTCTGGTGTTAGGAAATCAGCATCATATTCTTCATCAAGGAGATTTTCCAGCGAAGAACTATCAACTAGACTACTGTCTTGTTCAGGTGTTGCTAATGGGGCAGAAACAATGGGAAAACCTTCACTTGTTTGCATGCTGGCATTACCATTACAAGAAGTATCTCTCACCGTTAATTTCATTGGCCTCTTGTGGAAACTGCTTGATGTGGATTTTGCCCCATCAGTGCCTTTCAATTCATCAGAGCCACATGCCTTCACACCTGCTTCAGATTTCTTACAAACACTGCTTGCCTTTCTTGAAGAACCACCGAGAGCATGAGGAAGAGTTTCACTGTTATTGCTTTTAGGAATGACATTATCAGCACTGAACTCATGAGCTTCACATCTCTCTGTTTCTTTCAGCTCTGCACATGACATTGCATGAGGCTTTTGTGAATTCTGACTAGAAAAGCTCATAACAGCCATGTTCATAGTTGGGACTGGTCTCAGTTCATCAGTATCAATTATTTCAAAAGCAAAACTGTCTTCTGGATTTAATAATTTCCTCGGTTTTGGAGGTAAGCTTGGTCCTTGTTGATTTTGCAAATGTCTATACCTCACTTTCCCATTTGTACAGTCTTGCTTGCTCTCACCTGTAGATGCTAATACTGGCACTGGTTTATGGTGACGAAGGACTTCTGGAGGATTCCCCACAACACAACCTCCTTGATAAGGCAGTGCCCTCATCCTTTCTAAAGGGCGGTGTTTGGAGTTTCTTACTCCTCCAGAACTACTGGGAGGGAACGCACGTGGGGGTAAAGGTGGAGGTGGAGGATTTGACGATGGATATAATGTCTCATAAACTGACATCAGTTCTTCATTTCCTTGTTCCTCTAGAACTCTGAAATAAAATAAAATGAATGATATTAATATCAGAAGTATAACACAAAATACTCTTTATAAATATTTTGGATTAGAGTACTAAACCAAATTACATCCACATATTAAATTCAGTGAATGTTTACCACCTCTTGAGAACAGAATCTTTTATCTTCCTGTATCCTACCTAGAAATTGAAGGACTAAAATGCCGTGGCTTTAGTCCACAAGCGAACTATACCGACCAAGTGACTGCCACTTACTGGCAAAGTTAGTGCCAACTTTAGCGGATAGAGGGTGGTCATGTGGTCAGCGCAACAAATCCTCACGGCCTTCAATTTCGGTTCTCTAGACTGGAGCCGATACTTTTCCATTCAAGTAGCTCCTCAATTATCCTTATGAGGCTGAGTGGACCATGGTCCAGACCTAATACTTCTCAGAAAATGTGGTAGCGCCGGCAATCGAACCCAGGACCATCTGTAACCAGGTACTCTGATCACTAGACCACAGAAGCGGTCAATTGAAGGAATAAAATATATAAAACTGAAATTTTTATGGATACAGAATTTAATGTCACATTTAACAGGAAGAACAGGATTATCAGTTTGTCAAAATGGTGAGAAAGCATGACTTTTAAAATTGTTAGTCAGATCCCACAGTAAATGGTTTCCAAGACAGTTTTAGCATCACACAAGATGACCATGTAAATAGGAACTATGAATTAATTAAGTTAAGGATAAAAGGGAATTGAAATATAAACTAGAAACAAATGGTCGACAACTATGAGCTTGTCTTCTTTCGTTGCACCTTGTACTTATGCTCCATATGATGATTTTTTCATTAAAAATATTGTAACGTGTTTTGTTACTGTATACGCCGTAGAGATCGTTAATTGGTTTATTGAACAATCTACAAATATCGGCTACAATTAATTATCACAATGTTACGGGTTTCCACACTTTACAAACCCTACAACAAAATCTCTTAACACTATCTTCAAGAGTCTTCACGTATTAATAACGCGGGAGCTATACAAGTCTCCCTGAATTACACACTCCAAATATAACTGGTTATCACGAACTATCACTGATTCTCGCACCCGCGTCTGTAGCTCGTAACTTGCCAACTGAGAACTCGTTGATAACACATTCGCTCGTAGGCTTGCTCGGACCTAACTCGGAACTGTCTTCGGCGATGGCCACGTTACAACTCACTCGCAGCCGCTGTGCAGTTCCCTTATATAGCCGCAGTGCTTGCCTGTTGCGTAATGAGTGCCACGTCATCCTGTTACGTCACTGCGCGTTGCGCGTTACGTTACCGTGCGGAGAGGGGGAGGGGACCGCTGACTCATCCGCCACGTCACTGTGGCCTGAGTTGCCACGTTGCTGCTGGGTAGGGAGGGGTTCTCCGTTGCGCAACATGTCACAATATCAATCACAGAGAAACAGAAGTTCAGGTTGTTTTGTATGTCTTAAAAGAGTTATCTTATCAGTTGTCAGCGATGATAATTCAGTGAGAATATCAGTGAATCTGCTAACTCTGCATACTGCTTCTTCAAAGCAGAAAACGACTGCAGGACAAGACACACTGTTTGCTATAAGACAGATGANAAGTTAACTTGGCCACATATGGTAAAGGAGTATATCACATGGCAGTAAAGGTTTTTAATGGACTTCCTTATAACCTCATAGAAATCTCTAATAATCCAAAAAAGTTTAAAGTTAATTTAAAGGACTTCCTGTATTAAAATTATTTATATACAATGGAGGAATTCTTTAAAAGATGATTCTATTATATCGGCAAAAATTGAGTATTATTGATTATATTGTTAAACTGGGATGATTTTATGCATACGTACATGACTATATTTGATGGAATGTATCTGTAGTTATTGCTTTGCTGCTATTTAATAGGTTTTTATTACAATAGTGCTATTATGTTCATATTACAATGACTTAAGAATTGTTTCAGTTATATTGGGTGGTGTGCATGTTTAGGCTTACTTTGTTGTGTACGTTGTACTGCTTTGTTTGTGACTATTTCCACATCGTATGAAATTGTTTTCTGTATGGATTTACGGAAAATTAATACATGAATGAATGAATGAATAAAGCACTTTTAGGTCTCAAATATAACTTCAAAATTCTTCTGAGATATAAATAAGTGGAAGTTCAGTTTTCAGAAGACAAGGAACAAAATACCATATGTATTTTATTGCCCTGTGAAATTCATCCATTCTTTCTGACGCACCCTGTATGATTTCATTTAAGACTTATAAGCAGAAGATGGAGACTTTTCACAGTAATGTTTAAGGTTTTTGAAATCTCGATGTGAAAGAAATTTAGTTCGAGTATTTCAGAGAATCGGGTCAAAGTCATATTATGGCTGACAGCCAGCCAGCCAGCCAATCAGTCAATCAGTCAGTCAGTCAGTCAGTCAGTCAGTCTTGGTGTCAAATTTCATCTGGGGCCCAAGACCACATATTTGTCACTGTCAGACAGTTGCAGGTGGTCAACTGGCCTTTAATGGTGTTCATCATTCCATAATATAGCTTCAGATAAGAATCTTTATGGTCATTATTATTCACTGACATTCACTGTCTCTTAGTTGGAATTCTGAGTGTTCTATATCTCCCTACAAGGAGCTCTCACTTTATGATCAAACTTTTCAAAGCAAAATTTTCTGTTATTATATAATATGACATGTTGCACTGGTATGGATCCACATCGGTAGTTCAGTAACTGAATGTATTCCTATATAGCTGCCTGATGATGCTCTTGTATGAGTGAAACATGTAGCAGGAATAAAAAGTATAATTGTGAAACATCAAAAGCAAGTATATTTGTTGTGTGATGGTTAACCTAATTCCTATACATCTGTGTGTGTGTCTGAAACAGACAACAGGATGAAACCAATGAAGATTTTCAAAGCTTTTGCACTTCTCTGTTAAAAGAATTCTGAAATTGTACAATATGGAAAAGAATTCTGAATGTGAAAGTATTCCTGAAAATACTTTCAAATGAAAATTAAAGTCAAAATCTTGAAGAGCATCATGATGTTCTCAAGCGGAAACACATGTTTTGCCATTCTGCTATGCTTGCTTGCTTGCTTCCAAAACACAGGAAACTTGCAGTAGCTTCGGCTATCATGCACTCCTTCCTGCCCCCAGGCCTATATGGCCTACACACGGTGTCTCTAACTGCACCCAGAAATGGCCAATGTAAACTGCAGAGAAATAACTCAGAAGCCTATGAATGGGTCGATGGAGGTGGTACATGATGTAGTTTCCGATCTCTTCTCCTGCCAGTTAAAGCAACATTTTTAATTCATTCTTTAAAGTATTAGCTGGGCTAACATGGTGAACATGAATGTTCTACCACTGTTTGAAAAAAGTGATGAGAAGATGAAGTACCACGAGGATGAAGAAAATGTCAAAATGGGGACCTTCATAATGTATTCTCATAACAACATTATTAAGGTGATAGAATCGAGGAGTATGGAGTTGCGTGAAACATGCAACACATATGGGGAATGAAAAAACGCACAAAATATTAACTATGAAACGTGAGGGAAAGAGACCATTTGAGTGCCTAAGTGGAGATGAGAAGATAATATTAATATGGATCATAAGACAAACAAGGTATAAAGACGTGGACTGGCTTCAGCTGATTCAGAACAGGGTTCAGTGAGAGTACTTCTGGACATGGTAATGAACCATCAGGTCTCACAAAAGGCAAAGAATATCTTGATCACATATGTGACTGTCAGTTTCTCTAGAACAGATCTGCTCCACAGAGTTGGTTAGTAAGCAGAAACTACCTTGTAAGGTTGGGAAAATATAACTGAATTAAAACAGTCCTTCCCTGTGAGCAATTAAATGTTCATCACTTGTCTTGTTTTTTTTGACATACAATTATGCAGAATGAAGATATACAAAGATATTTGAACTGAATCAGAACCTACCAGGATGCTTGAATTTAATTTTGCAGAATCAGCATAAAAGAATTAACTGTTTACATTGATGTACCCTTAACACACCTTTGGTCAAGGAAATAGTTTTAACCAGTTCAAAATAACTCTGATTTGAGAACAAATTCTTTCCACCTTAAAAATTTTGCACAATGATTGGATTGCACAACAACTCGGTTCAAATCTGCTACAGACATTATCCAAAAACAGTAAAAGTATTTTAAAAATGGCAGTACCTTCATATAGCATGATAACAACAACGGTTAATTCTCCAATGTCTCTATCCTGATGCAGGATTACTGCATGTGTTTTTGGAACATCTAGCTTTAAATGGCCTGGCAGCATATTTTTGTTCTACAGTATTCAACTCATTTTATACAATTAGAAATACAAAACACTAATCTGCATTATATCCACACAATTAGTTTTAACTGTAACATACATGCATACCTGCTATTTGATGGTAAGGGAGATTTTGTCCAAATGGGATAGTAATCCACGTTTTCATGTAAGGTCACTGGCTCTTCAACAACACCGGAACGATCTTCTAGATCATGAGTTCTCTGTGCAGATTCATGTGAATTCCACGTCTGAAGCTTGTGACTGGGAACCAAAGATGTGTCTGAATTGTCAGACTCCTCTCCCTCACCGCCATTCAGGTGTGGTGGATATCCATTCACAAGTCTTTTGTCTGGAACATGCACTAAAGCCACTTTTTTTTTCAGCGGTCTTACACTTCGCTGTTTCCGGTACTTAGCTGAAGTTTCAACTTCTGAATCACTTTCAGAACTATTATTTGCAAAAATCTTGCTTCCCCTAACTCGCATAAGATCAGATGATGGTAACTCTCTGCATTTAACAGCTGACTGAGGCGTTTCACATCCCATGCTTGCAACACTTTTCTTCTTTAAGTTTAATATAGGGCTGCTTCTTGGGAAGGTCCCTTTAGCAGCAGATGGCTTTACACTGCTGCTGGACAGGAGAGTAAGAGGCTCCGACTGTGCAAGGCATGCCAGACTCAAACCACTGTAGTATCGGAAACACATCAGCTTCCCACATTCTGCAACACACGAACTGACAACTGACATCTGGGCAGGATTTTATGGGCACACACGATCCCAGCAATGTTCAGCAAAACTTTTAAACAGGATCAACAGCACAACACAAATTTAATGCATGCATTACAAAGGAATATAATAGAACAATCCTTTTTGTTTTCTTTCATAAAGTTAAGTACTTCCAAGGGGAGACTGAAGGGTTTGACCATTCTTCCTGTAATGTTTGCAACTACCTAAATAAGTCTTCTTAAAAACGTGAGTTACAAAATAATAATTATTGAGAGCTACATTTTTGTCAGCATCACAGACTAATGCAATTTGATACAACTGACATTTTTTAGAACATGACGTGAAATTAGATCCTAGGTATGCTACTACATAAGGGCTCTTAACATTCATCAGGTGAACCAAAAAGAGTACTTCGCTTGGGATAGATTTCCAGTGCAGGTTCTGTTTCAAGCAACATTCGTTGAATATAAAATACAGTATTAGGTGAACGATCCTTTCCACTCCAAAGACAATAAAAAATTATGTATAGGATTGAAGGTTCTCACGGCAGTGGTTATAAATAGTTCTGTCATTTGGAAAATAATTTCATGTAGTCCAGTGACAGTCAACCAATGTTTCAGAGGAGCATGTCATCTCCATCTTTAGGGTTGAAAAGTAAGCCAAGCAAGAAACCAGCATGACACAGGCGAGAAGCAGCGACTCTGCTTCAAAAATCAAATGATTTCATTTTCACCTCAAACAATTTCTGTCTCTTCCTTTCATTACCAGTTTTACAGATATACAAGGTTGTCCTTCTGTATGTGTGAGAGAGGGTGAGTTGGTGTGCATGCATGTGATAGCCTAAATTAGGCCAAGCCTGCTTACTACTATATCACTCTCACTTATTGTTGTTATACATTTATATATATATAGTTGTTATACATTAACAACTTGTCAAACTCATCTAATAGAACATAAACTCAGCAGTTCACATAAGACCTAAAAATAACCAAATAAACAACAAAAGTAACATTTTGTGATGTGGTATCTAGAAACAAGAAACATATCACTGAATTTTTCATTTATTTATTTATGTTTCACATAACAAAAATGTCAGTAAATCAGATAATAGCACATCAAATCATAAGATGATTAAGGGGTAATGGTTATAAGGAATATGGAAGAAAGTGGTCATGGCTTAACTTAAGTACTATCCTTCCATTTATCTGGAGGAAAAACCATGATAAACCTCTGCTAGCACAGTCGGTCTCTGGGCTCAGACCTGCACCAAGGTCCTCCTGAATATGAAGCAGGAGTGCTGCCCACTCAGTCACACTGTTCAATGTGTGACTTACAGTCTGCATGGGCCACCATCATGAAAGTAGTCCTGCTCTACAAGCAGCTGCAGAATATCATACCACAATGGCACAGCCACACTACAGAACTTGAGGGTCTCACAGCAGTGATCATGCAGCCCACTAAAAGTCAAATGACGTTCTGGAAGAACATATCACCTCCATCTTCAGGGGCAAAGAATAAGCCAAGCAAGATACCAGTGTGAAAGCTCGGCTTATTTTTCGAACCTGAAGATGGAGGTGATATGTTCCTCCAAAAGGTCAACTGACTTTCAACAGACTGCACGTCGTGATGTCCCAGAAGATAATACTCTTCAACTCTCTGAGATCTCTGATACAACATAAAAAAAGTATTTCTGATAAAACTGTTTAGAAAACAAAACTTATTTAATGAATTTAATGAAAGTTTATATCAATATCATATTTCATTTCCATAGATAAGGGTACTGGGGAACAAAATTAAACATCTGGAGCTAAGAAAGAAATTAGAATAAAAGGATAAGGAAAATTAAAAAAAAGAAGAGCCACTTATTTGCAGTTAAAAAGATAAGATGAACAGGAGATGTGCAGGGGTCGACAAACCCATTCATCTGCCCATCTCCGATGGGGGAATCTTCAGGCCAGTGACAGAAACACTTCCAGTTTACTCGTTAATATTGTCTCCAACTCTTTTATTTTTTTGTTTTTCCACAGATTTTTGATGAAAAGTAAATTTCAATCATAAATGACATCATGCATACCTATTGCATTATAGAGGACAGTAGGCCAGCTTTATCCATCTTGTATGTTAAACTCTCATGGTTAGCAGGTTCTCAGCAAATTGGCTCAAGCATTAATTCTGACTTGTATATGTGAGGAGCCCAGTTTCACAAACACTATCTTCACTGAGGTAAATTCCGGAACAGTACTTCAAATTATGCAATGCCTGTTCTTTCCATATTTTTTCTATTCAGTAGTCACTAATCCACTAATATAAGCGGCCTCCGTAGTCTAGAGGTAACGTTCCCACTTCATGACTCGTAGTACGTGGGTTCAAATACCCGGCGGAGGTCGTTGAATTTTTAAGGGCGGAAAAATTCAGGGAACAAGTCCTCCGGGAGGGACTTTAAGCCGTGGGTCCCGTGTCGTAGCTTTACGGCACGTAAAAGAACCTCATATCTCCAAAGGAGGTCACTGAGCCAAATTATGGACGTTTCCCGCCCAACAGCAGTCTCTAATACCTCTGGTAGATGGGGGAAGCATTATAGATACCTCTCAGCTAGTAGAGCCGGTCTCGCTGGCTGGGCGGGACTGATGGTAAGCACCAGTACCGGTAGGATATAGAGACTGGTAGAAATCATAGAGGGAAGCACAATGGACCAATACAGGTCTAAGTGCATGGGGAAACCCACCCTCTCCAATAACTAACTAACTAACTAACTAATCCACTAACATGACACTATATGATCTGAGCTACTAACAGCCTCATTAAACAAACCATAAATAAATAAAAATAAATAGACTGGGGTAGAGCATTTAGAGTGTCATGGATAGACACTGTTTCTCCTGTGGAGAAACGTCTGGCAAGAAAAAATTTTGTCTGCTGAATACTGACACTTGGATATGTGGCATGCCTGAGATAGATGAGAAACACAAAATATTAGTCATAAAGATTGGAGGGAAGCAATTACTTAGAAAATATGGTGGGGGGATGGATGGATGGATGCGTTCTTGACAATGTGAGCGACTGTCATCTTCTCAAGACGAACTTCGCTGCACAGTTGCCAGTTCTTTTGTAACAACCACATTAACTGGAACCCACATGCTACATACAGTGCGATCGCATTTTATGGGAATTGAACTACACAAATTTGAAACAAACGAAGTGCGATATAAATAAAATTAACCGAGTCTCACTTTATGTGCAAAGTCTGAAATAATGTGAATCCTAAAATTAGGCAAGAATCACATATGCGTTATTCCTATGAGAAAACTTATCTTTAAATATGCGAATTTTGAATTATTTGATTTCTTCAGGACCGCATCCTCGCATTAAATGCGACTGCGCTGTACTATACTTTTTATTCTTAGTGGGGGTGAGACTGAGTTCAGTTGGTACTGCGACCACTACAGGCCTATTGTACCAGCCCCAGATGATAGATGACGGTAATTGTGGAGAAATTGGTGGAATGAAGATTGGCAAGGGAAACCGAAGTATTCGGAGAAAATCTACCGCAGTGCCGCTTTGTCCACCACAAATCCTACATAACCTGACCCGGGCTCGAACCCGGGCCGTCACGATGGAACCTACTAACTAACCGACTGATCTATTGCACGGCTGCACTATACCCTCCCAAATGACGAGCTCTATGACACATTCCTCGCAGCACCACTTCCTGCCTGCAGCTGTATACCGAGTTTGGTTGGGTTATCAGTAGAGACCGAATTTTAATGCAAATGCATATTTCTTTCTTGAAACCAGAAAATCTGCTCGTTTGGATATATGTATGAATTACTTCATTTCTTAAATTTTGGACATGGTTTGATGGTGTATATAAATGCATATTTTGCCTCTTTTATGAATAAGCGTCATATTTTCGAAGATCTCTATTTACATTGCATATTTCGTTTTTAAAATGTTTATCATATATATTTTCCAATTTTATGTTCATATTTTCAATCATGGACGTGTGTATACAATTTTTCTTTTCCATATTAGAATATGTTGCATATTTGACTCAACATTTCGTCATGATTCATGTTTCTGATGAAATACCCAGGACGGGACTTCCCCGATCCCTCTACTCGTAACTTGCCTCATCCGCGTACCATAAAAGTGGCCGCAAAGAGATTAGTCGGAAGCGTTCACATGTAGCAGCTATCAACGTAATACTATTCAACCGATAAGGAACTTATTTATTTCCGAAGTCTCCATGAGGTTCGTTACGATTCTTTATTTGAAGCTGGGGGCCTTTCACATTAGTGGTGACTAGTGTGTAGTTACGTTTGTTTACCGTTCTGTAGTCATGCCAAAAGTGAAAGTAAGTCAGAAAACTAAATTACAGCTGTATCAGCGGGAGTTCGAAGGAGAGATGATGATAAGTACGGATATCGAAATTCTTTATTGCCGAGCATGTGAGAAAACGGTTGTGAAAAATGCTTTCAGGTGCTTCAGCATTTGAACACTATTATACACAAAGAGAATATTAAAATTAAATCCACGAAAAGTGCTCCTGTTCAAAAATTGCTTAGTGAATTTTCTAATAATAGTTTTTCACAATTTTCCTTTGATTTATGCGAAGCCCTTTTAGCGGCAGATATTCCGCTGTGGAAACTAACCAATCCTACTCTGAGAAACTTCATACAGAAGTATACACCGTGCAAAGTGCCGGATGAATCTACTGTGCGCAAAAATTACGTGAAGCAGTGTTACAATCTTACAATTGAGGCCATTAGAGATAAGATTCAAGATAATTTTGTGTGAATCGACGGAACACAAGATTGTGAGGGACGGTTTATTGCAAATTGTATAGTTGGATCACTTAATAAGAATGAACAATCTACCCCATATCTTCTTGCGGTAGAGAAATTTGAAACCACAAATAGCTCAGCAGTTTCCGAATTTATTATCAATTCCATGAATTCACTATGGCCCAATTGCATTCAGTATGAGCGTGTATTGCTCTTTGTGACTGATGCCGCAAGTTATATGATGAAAGCCGGTACTGCTCTTAAAGTTATATTTCCAAATATGACACATTTGACTTGCCTTGCCCATGGGTTACACCGTGTTCGTGCAATTTTTCCGCTTGTTGACAAGTTGGTGTCTTCTATGAAGAAGGTATTTGTTAAAGCGCCATATAGAAAAGAAGCCTTTAAAGCAGTAGCACCGAGCGTTCCACTTCCTCCAGAACAAATTTTAACGCTCTGGGGCACGTGGCTGTGTGGTAGAAGCAGTTAGGAATGTCGTGAATACATTTTATCCCAAAAGTGCAGCATCAATTCAAACTGACCAAGATATACTAAGAAACGCAGAACTAGAAACTAATCTTTCCTATATATCTGCTCACTTCTCTCATCTTCCATCCACCATTTCCTCACTGAAGGCAAGGAATAGCAATACTACTTTGTATCAGTCGTTAAGTGTGTTCAAAACCACTGTTCCCAAATTGAATTCGTTTCCTGGAAGAACTGGTGAAGTAGCAAAGGAAAAAAAGTACACAGCATTCTTTAAAAAAATCCAGGATATGAAGAAATTTGTGAAACTGAAGAAATTTTAGCCGGTAAACGTACTGAACTGCCAAGTAAAAATCACTAACAGTGGAGCAAATAGGGTCTTTTGTACATGCGCCCCTAAGTTCCTGTGAGGTGGAAAGAAGTTTTTCCCGCTATAAGGACATCTTACGATACAACAGGAGGCGACTAACTATGGAAAACCTAGAACATTTAGTAACTGTGAACTGCAACAGAAGAGAAATTGAAAGTTCGGAGAGCTAAATGTGAGTACCATTGGCTTTTTAGATTTATAATGAAATATGTTGGTTTTGTTGCATGATTTATATTTAAGTATAGCTTTTTATTGCAAATGAATTATTCTGTGATTACATAAAATGAAGTTAAATATTGATTTGTTAGTCTTAAAATAATGTAAAATCAATTTTAATATTTGGTATAAATTTTTATGTGCATATTTCAATGCATATTTCGGAAGTTTTTATTGCATAAATGCATACATATTTAAGGGATTATTAGGGCATAAAAATCCTGACCCTAGTTATAAGGGAAGATATAAACAACAGGTGAACAATACAAGATCTAGGTTCTCACGGCAGGAACTATTAAGAGTACTGTACTCTGGGATGCGTTGCCGCTTGGTCTGGTAGGTTTCATCAACGTTGCTGACGAATGCACTGCCGCCGGTAAGCACTGTTTGCTGTTTGCTTGCACGGTTTACCCTTCAACTGTGAAAACGGTGGCAGTCGTTCTCCTGAAATGTGGGCAAACCGTCCACCAGAGTCCACAGTCCATCTCAGATACAAGTATACTCTGCAAGGGGCAAAGAAGTTAGAGCAAATAATGGTTGCTTATTTGGTTTTTCTACGATTTTTTCTCAACTGATAAGAGTCAAATCAGATACTGATGCCTGTGTGTGAATGATGAAATGGTAGGGATATGGGAGAAAGTGGCCTTGTCTCAACTGACGATTTGTATCCTGGCATCTGCCAGGTGGGTTTGCGAGAATCCGCGTAAAATCTCAGGAAAAACTGCCGTCGGGCGACACTCGTATCAGGCACTTCCCGAATGCGTTTGCACGGGCAAAACAGAGGTGTAGTTGCATCTTTGCGTTGAGTAAGCAAAACGCGGGAAAACGTATACGAGGGCGGGGGACAGCTCTACGCAGCCTTCACCTCGGGACTAGGTGTGGATGATTGACTAGTTCCACATTGCTGTCCCTTGATGTACGTACACAAACATAGTCTTCAGTGCGGCTCCCAGTTCAACCACGCCATTTTCATATCATTCTTCCATTACTACACGACATGTTTCGGTCTTACAAGGACCGTCTTCAGGTGTGTTTGTTGCACGTAAACTGTTTCAGTGTGGAGTACTAACCATGCGCTACGCACAAAACTAATTATTTTGTTGTACTCAAAATTTAAAAAGTTAAACAGTTAAAACGTTAGAAATTAAAAAGTCGTGTGTTGTGGCAGCCTTTAGATCGCACTAACACAGTGGCATCTGAGCTCTACCGCAGGGTTTAACTCATTAGGAATCGAAATAATACACACAAGCTCGTTCATACACATCAGAAAAATCGCCCCTTCTCCATTAAATAGCTTCGGTTAATGCTGTTTGGAACAATAATTGCTGTCTATCTTGTGAGCCATTAGTATCTAGACACGTAGCTTTTTTGAACACACAACTGAAAGGCCCTGCCTATACTGCATACAAAATAAGAAATAATAAGGGAATAAATATTGTGACATTTACATATGCAACTGCACAAAACGGCAAATCAAACACAAGTTCCCTGAACTTAAAGTGGCTGCAGGCTATGCAACATCAGGACGAGAGGGTGAGAAGAACAGCACTACAGCTTGAAGAGTTCTGTCTCCTGGGGTATAAGGGGGTGTAAAAGGTAAAGGCAAAGCTACCCCTGTAACAGGCTGTGGAGGCCCATAGGGTTGTGAGACGTCGAGGCTCACAGATGGCAGTGAGGTTGTCAGCCTTACACGCCGGCCGGCCCCCCTTCAAACCCAGGAAGATTCCTGGTACTCATTTCTGTTCGAGGCTAACTCGACCCCAGTGCCATAGTGCGGCTGGAAGTATTAGGTGAATTGAAAAATCCAATTACCTCATCGGGAATCGAACCCGCGATCTTCCGGCTTGTAGAATACTGTCTCAGCCGAGCTACCGCAGTGTAGTCTTTTGAAAGTCAACCAACGTTTCGAAGGAACATGTAGCCTCCCATCTTCGGGGCTGAAGAATAAGGCTAGCAAGAAACCAGCATGAAGTAGGTAGCTGTTCGGCAGACCGTGCATATCGAAATCTTCCGAGTTCGACAAATAACTGTTCGTTTGTTTTGCAAATCTGCGTTGAACAGGGGTTAGCTGTAATGAGCCCTATCGCCACCCTATACATACTTACACCCCAAACAGTTTGGGGCAATGGGCGTGCTAAGGTCGCAGGTTCAAACACTGTTCGAATGACATGTTTGTCCACATTTCTCTGTGCGCCTTGTAATACTAAAGGGCTTGTTAGGGCCATCCAAAAAGTTCCACCGAGTTCCTTAAAAAACACTGTAACGAAATTGCTTCCAAGGCTGAAGAAACCGGAGCAGCGAAGTAATACCTTGATGGGTCAGCGCTGGCTGTGAGAGATCCAGCAGCCACATGGCCTCTCCCGTGGAACTGGTTCCCACTCTGCCCTCACTCAGGCAGGCCAGCCATTTGGACGGATCGCGTTCATCTAAAAACAAAAATGACAAGGTGAAATCCCTATAGAAATAGAGTTTCTACATGCGTTCTGTATGCTCCTGGCTGTTACAAACAGATTTCTTGAATCGGTTAACACTATTAAGCAGAAGAGTAGGGCCATGCCGTATAGTTCGGAAAGAGCACGTCGCTGCTTCTGGTATACCGCTTAATCGTCAACCCTGAAAATGGGAGTGATTTTCCTCGGAAACAATATGCTCTTTCCGAACTACACGGCGTTACAACCCATGAGACCGACGTGAGAATCTCAAATCCGGCTATATGAAGAATGCCTGCAACTTCAAACAACACCAAAGAGTCATACCATCGCCATGTTCACAAATGCTGACTTAAAAACTGACAACCTTACCGCCATCTGTGAGCCGATTGTCTAGATAATGTGGGACCCTCGACGTCTCACAACCCTACGCGGCCTTCACAGCCTGTTACAGGGATAGCTTTACCTATTTTTAACTGCAGTGATTCACTAGTTACTGCTATCAAACTGAAAGCTATATACATTGATGCAATCTTTATTTTGTTGTCTCAAAATTTACAAGAATGCATTAACAAAAGTTGCGTATTTTTCAAAGATGTTACCATGCTGACGTCAAGATCACTTCCACCTCTCGTGTTCGCACTTCCGTCAAACTGGCGTTACTGACTGTAAGAAACAGGAAGTGCGAGTTTCGGGTAGCCCTCCAACGATGTAATTTCAAATGTCATCCCAATCCATCCGACAGTTCTCGAGTTGAAACATGCGGACAGACGGCAACGTAATTTCGTGCACAGTGTGTAAAGAACAAATAAAGAAAGTAACTTTAGATATCGCGTAATGAGAATAAAACGGATTGCATTTGCGTTCCTTCTTCTCTGAAGCTACAGCTCGATTCCGACAAAGGCCTCTTCTATTGCAGAGGCTTACAAAATCCTTGTTCTGACAGGAGGGAGGACTAAAACGTGGTCTAAGGATCAGGTCACCCATTATTTTATGGATTATTTGACGAATTTCGTTGTATAAGTTACGAGCGTCAAAAGATATGATCATCTGTCAACGATGAATTAAAACTGATGGGGAAGAAAAAGGTCATATTAGGCTAGTTAGAATGACCTTAGACAAACCCCATATTATAAAATCTCATTCGTATGATGTTCAGAACTAACTTTAATTGTTTCTTGCATCCTGTTGTGTATTTAATCAATATTAATATTAATAAAATTAATTAATTAATTAATATTAATAATATTTTAACTTGTGTTTTGTGAAAGGAACTTGATATATTATTGAGCGTGGGCCTGAATAAGATACAGGATCGAATAAGTGAGAAGACAAATGTGATTGCGTGTAATTATACTGTGTTCGTACACCTGAGAATGACCTCTTTTGGCCGAAACATGTAGTGTGATAGTAATAAAAATATGTTGTGTGGTCGGTAAATTGACTCTAATACTGTTCAGAATTAACTGAACAAGGAGAGGCTTTAACGTCTCTTTATGGAAAGAGGCAAAACCGCAGGCAGAATAAGAGTTGCTGCGGCGGATACGCGCGAGACGCGTTGCTGTGTTCGGAGTTAACGGCGAAACATGAAGACGAGGCAGTACGTTCTTCCGAGACCGTCTACAGAACCACATGGAGTCACATTTCACAAAACCGTAATCTTAAATACTCACTGCTGTGAGAATACGCCTCAAGCCTACTGCACTATTAGTATCTCACATCGGCATTCTTCTGTTGGTACCCCACGGCATGCAGGATATGAGCCCAAACTGAAGTCTCAGGGTCACAATATTACACAAACGGAATCCGTCTCTCCTGGCGGTCTGCATATGAGTATATCCCTTGCAAAGTATTACGACAGACAAAACATAACTTGTTTATGGCGTCAACTGTTTACATCGCCATACCAACAGAACTATCGTTTGGGATGTGACGCTGTGTAGTCTGGTACCAGTTTACCGACGTTTCGAAGAAATATACTGCCTCCATCTTCAGAGTAGAAGAGTGAACCAAGCAGCAAGCAGTTTCGACCCTGAAGATGGAGGCAGTACGCTCCTCTGAAATGTTGAAAACCCGCGTGCGTCCCTCATACCATACAAGCAGAATAAGACTTGGTAACGGATAATTCGTAATACTTTTCGTTATGTTCATTCATTTTGTAGTATTTAAATTGTGTGTCTTGAATGTGTCACACGCATCTCTCGGGTTATTATTTGTCCTCATCGAATTGTGCTCACCTGTCCAATGTACAAGGGTCCACGGTTCTGCGCTTCATGACGGCTAGTGCGCCGCCGGCTGCGAGGCGTATATGAATTTTGCCGATGAAGCAGCATGCCTAACGGCCGATAACGTTTTGAATGAAGGGAAGTAACTAACTTGTGGACTGCTTGACGGTATTACGTTACACGGTGAGCAGTGTGGCAGTTTGCCTGTGATTTGTCAGCAGTAGGTAGCAGTTATCAGTTCCATTCGCCATTTGTTCTCAGTTAAAGTTAGTGCGCAGTGTGGTACATCATGGTGTGGTATCTTCAGAGCAGCGTGTATTTCTAGGTCTGTCACACATGTGAAATACGGATCTGCTAGAAAAGTGTAGGCGAACATTTTTACGTAAATTTCGCGATGAGTTCCCACCAGACAATTCACAATTTGGTGAATAAACTTAGAAAAACGGCACTTTTAATAGACAAAAAAAAAAACATAAGCGTCGAGTACTTAATGAGAAGTTAGATCCCATAGGGCCGGGACACAATTAATTTCGAAAAAATATTCACGTGTAGTGTGGACAGCCTTTTCAACACCTCCTGTGATCTGTGAATTGTTAACTACTTCATTCTGAATGCTATCGGCCGTCACGCATACTGATTCATCGGTAAAATTCGTATGCGCCTCGCAGCCGGCGGCGCACCGGCCTCCGTGAAGCGCAAAGCCGTGGACCCGGTCCACACACTAAAAATCCCCGTATTTTAGCGGGGAGTCCTGACATTTTAACTCACAAATGTCGAGACTATCACACTAGTCATTGTCTGATTTTCAGATAAATTGTTTTTACTGTGTTCAATTACAATGTATTTTCAATTAAATAGTTTCGTTATGATTCCGGTTTTCTTCCCTATATTTGTAAACGCTGCCACTTTGTAGGGTTTGAAGTTGTCAAGGCGGTGCTAAGTATGGCCTCTATATCATCTAACTTCTCAGTAAGCATTCGGCCCGTACGTGTTTCTTTCTTGTCTATTAAGAGTCCCGTTGTTCCAAGTTTATTCACCGAATTGTGAACTGTTTGTCTGTTCGGAACTCTTTCATCATCACGGAATTTACGTCGAAAACAAATGGCTAATGAAGCTGATAACCGTTGACAAATCATAAGCTCCCACGCATGAACCGCACTGCTCGCCGAGAAACATAATGCGGTCAATTCAATTCACCCACTTCATTCGAAGCGTTATCGGCCATCAGGCATGCTGATATTCGTATTCACATCGCAGGAAGCGGCGCACCGGTCGCCCTGAAGCGCAGAGTCGTGAACTGGTCAATAAAGTTAGAAAACTCTCTGTACATAGTGGAAAGGTGATTAGATACAGTTCCTGAAGACACTAACCCTTGTGAACATGGGAACGGTCAACATTAATGCCTCAACACGGAAAGTCGCGGGGGAAAACAACAAAATAAGACAATCAGACGAGGTCATTAACTTTGTCTCTGTGCGATAAATGAAACTATTGCCTTTACAACGTATATGTGCCATTTCCAACATTACAACTGTAAAAACAATTTTAACAATTAATACTCCTATTTTACTTTATTTAAAACTGGTACGAGATTTAGAATAGTAATATCTTTTAAACAGAACAGCGTACTGTAAATGAAAACAGCAATTTTAGAAATAACATATCCATGAATTACAAAAAGAAACTCCCAAAGAATCCTTCACCAAGGTACTGATGCATGTAAAGTGGCAATGTGCTGCAATACGCATGTGTCGAAATCCGCAGTGCAACAACAGTCCATAACAAACAGGCCAAAAGCTTGTTTTACTGGTTGTTCTATTATTACTAATACTGTATTATCCCTGCTCCAAGATAACGAAACTCATCTGCCGCCTACACTGTTTATGAGGTATGTTAAAACTGCCTCTGATTTCTTACGTTCCTTTCAAGGACAATGAAAACAACTTCCGTGCAAATCAGGGTATATACACCATCCTGTTCAGTGCTACTCGTACTTCTACATAAACCGGAACTGCTGGTTACCCCCCCCCCTTTCCCTCGGTATTCACAAGAAAAAGGCAGGCAGCAAACACACACTTAATTACCACACAAAAAAGTTACGCTTGCTGCACTCAACAAGGGACACCGCCAGTTCGCATTCCTGTGTGCCATGATACCAACTGTACGTCATGACTTGTGGCGACCACGTGACGTGAGAGACATGACACCCGGAAGTAACTCATCAACACATGAACAGGGTGGTAGGTGCTACTTATCGGAAGTTGCACATCGAACACATTCCGAGAAACGCTGAGGCGTGGGACACGTCACCACTTCCTCTTACATAAAAAGGAACGTCGATTGACATAAAAGAAAATAGAAACGCAAAATCAACAACACAGAACTGGGCGTAACATCATGGTAGTAGATGACAGCTGGTCTTCTTCAGAGAATAATTTCCTTAAACTCAGGAAGGTGAATAAAGTGCACAAAGGAGCACAGTGGAAACACTTGTAATTTTGTGCGTATTATTATTGGCAGTAAATAAAAATACGTGTCGCGGCCAAATCGCTACACTTATTTATGTTACGATCTGAGGGCAAGTCAATTAATGAATAACGAACTGGAGAATGCGGAAAAAGGAAGCGGTGGTGGCCTACGTCAAAGTTGTATGCCGGCAGCGGCGACATTAAGCCCCATTTCTTCTCTGCGTTGATGTCGAGAGGTTGTCTGTGACTGGCTCAAGGTTATTTCGCTTTCTTTGTTGTCCCATATTTCAAAACTTACCCAAGA